CCTCGTCGCGCTCCGTTGACCGCGCATAAGAAGGGCTCTGGGTACGAGAATGGGACCAACTCAACAAAAGTCATGCGGGCCATGTTGGTGTTCCAGGCAAAAAATTCTAATTAAAATTATTTTGAATTGGAACACCAACATGGCGGCTGTGACGTCATGTGTAAACGCTCTAGACAGTAAATAATATACACATTTAATTGCACCTTCTTGTTTGCTGGGGCACCTGTGCCCCCAAACTCGAAGTTCTGGGATACATAGCTAAATCTCAAAAAGTCTTATGTTCATACCCCAGCAACGTAACGCTCAATGGCTCAATTTTCCCAGTGTTAATTTACACCAGATTAAGGTAAAATTAACAACATTTTGAGTGTTTTTTTTTACACCTTGATGGTGTACCGATGGAGGCAAAGATTTACACCAATTTTGGTGTTGGGTGAACACTCAGAAATTTAGAGTGTATACTAGCTAACTGTAATATTTTTGGGCGAATTAGTAAAAATGTTACTAATTAACAATTAGATTACTCGCTCTCGATTTCAATGAAGTGAACTATCATCTCATAGAAATCTCGAGCTCGTAATCTAATGGTTAATTAGTAACAGTTTTAGCAAAATCTCAGATGAAACATAAAATATTCCACAATATTCCATAAAATATTGCCATTTTTTTAAAAATGCGCCAGGAAAATGATTGTTTTGCTACTCGCTATCTATCGAGGAATAGCTAGAGCGAGTAGAATAGCCAATCAAATTACAGCATTTCCAATAGTATACTAGAATGATTCTACTAATAACAGTTAGTGTAATATGAAGATATTCAAACCTATCCAGTAAATTTACCTAAAGCTCTGTTTTATAGCCTCGCTCCTGTTTCGAAGGAACAAAGTACAAGCCTAAACAAAGAACAAATGAACTGAATAAACAAATAAACAACTGTTTAGTCATTCATTTATGTTTTACGTATAGCAAGCAAAACATACGTTTACATATAGGAATTATAATTTGATTAAGCATGAAAGAGGTTGCTCAAGTAGCAACAGACCTTAGAAGTGTTTACGTCACGCAATTTTTAATACAGAGGACTTCTGGAATGCACAGTTCATTGTGGGATACGCTTAGGTCAATAACTCATTGTTTGAAAATGAGGTAACGTAAACACTGTGGTCCATTAGATTCCATAAGACTGATTTGCCGCTGTGAATGCAAAATATGAATGGACTTAGTCTTAGATACACTTTGATATCCGTATCTCGAATCTTTTACGCCCGTATTCTAAAAGCTCACTCACACTCACACTCAATGAGTGGAGGTTCAATCTGAACCGTTTCTTGAGTGTCAGTGCTGTTTTTGAATAGCTGGAGGGTGAGTAGTCACATAGTAAGGTACGACACTAACCCTCCAGCTATTCAAAAACAGCACCGACACTCAAGAGAAGCTCATACTTGACCTCCACTCATTGAGTGTGAGTGTGAGTGAGCTTTTAGAATACGGGCGTTAGTCTCGGCTACATGTTATAATATGCTCGGCTACATGCTATTTTACCTGACTTAGAATGAGTCATTTGGACGCACAGTTGCCAAGAAATGAATTGGTTTATTATATTTTTTTCAAATACCTGATGGGCTTTCCCAAGTTTATTAAGCAGCAGAACTGCACGCCTACTGGACTGCGGTCCACCATGTAACAATATGCTCTGATTCGCTTCCAATTCTGTCATCAACGCTTCTGATAATAATTTCACCCGGTGGTCAACTCGACTTCTAAAATAGAAAGAAAAACATCTCTAACAACAACGACGACAACAAAACAACTCTCAACGACGACGACGGCGGCTGCGATGACAACAACAACGACAACGACAACGACAACGACAACGACAACGACAACGACAACAACAAAAACAAAAACAACAACAACAACAACAACAACAACAACAACAACAACAACAACAACAACAACAACAACAACAACAACAACAACAACAACAACAACAACAACAACAACAACAACAACAACAACAACAACAACAACAACAACAACAACAATCACCTTACCTGACTTCGTTAAGAGCGTGGGAACTTGGAGAGTCTTTTAAATAATTATTAACTAGAAAAAAATTAAAAGTTGAGGACAACTGCTCCATAACGATAACTGACTTATTGTTCAACAGTTAGTTTCAGAGTTACTAATTATGTTCTGTAATTACCTTTCTCAATGAGAGTCATGGCTCCTTCGAAGTCTCTCTGAGCAATGCACACATCTAAATCGTCTGGAATATCGCGAAGCCATTCCACAGCCAAAATATCACTCTATAGAAAATTAATGTAATGATGACGAGGAAACAAGTTCTTAAAATGTTCATGTTTTTTTCGTATATTTTATAATATTTTTGGAAGTAGCGGTGGGGTGCATACAGTACATCTTCCCTGAAAAACTGCAACAACCTTATTAGCTGAGCTGAGCTAAGTTAATCAATAATTTTTGAAATCTCGAGATTTTTTATGCTAGAACGAACCTTGGACAAGACAGTATGTGTGCTGCTTTCGTTTGTAAATATACTATCATCTTCCTCTTCGTCTACAGGAAACAAGAAACAAAGTAATTGTAAACAACCTTGCACCAAATTGTTAACACGCTAGGAACAAGCACAAGTGCGATCAGTTGCATGTTGGACCACTAAACTTGACACAACTTCGCGATAAGCTTGGAACAGGACTCTGTAGCAAAACTGGATTCTATACAGTAGTAGTTCAATCGTAGCGCCGCAGGTTCGATTCCTGCTAGAAGGCCTATATTTTCGCAACCGCTCCTGGTTACAGTAAGTTTAATAAATGTATATCTCAAACTGATTAATAATTCATGAGTAAATTAGCCAACAATATTGCTTTATTTTGCTCACATGCATGATAATACTGGATACCTTTGGATCAAAATTAATTCAGTCCTTGGACTGGATCAAAATTAATTCATCTCATTTAAAGTAGTGATTTATTCGTATGAGATGTCATTTCCAATCCTTCAATTCGGAATGGACTAGATTTCAAGTCCTTGCATTTTGAAATCTACTTCAGTCCTCATAGTCGGATTTGAAATATTACATAAAATTTACACTCGAATTTCCATCTACAAAAAACCCTTAGATATGACAGTTTGTTGGAATTAACAGTCGTGCAGAAAGTGTCTAAACTTATACTGTACACATTATTTATTGTTTCATTTTCGTTATTTTCTAGTTACTGCAGTGTCTAAAGGCCCGTTTACACTTTCAATTTTTGCTGCGATTTCTAGTGCGATTTTCTTCTTCTGATAGATGTGAACGAGTGGATAAGTTATGAATGCTGTGAGTATATGTAACCTCATCTAAACATTCCTAACGCATCCACTCGTTCACATACATCAGGAGAAGAAAATCGGACAAATGGGCCGTAATGTGAGAAGACTTCTGCTAAATCATAAAAACCTTGTCGCAACCTCTCAAAAAATATTCAACATTTTGTAAACATACTGAAATCAAGCAGGGCAAAACAGTCTGATACCAGTTTGCAGGAATAACCGTGTATGACAAGTTTCTGCAGTCATCAACTTGAACAAGCAGTGAATGAACTGTACTAATGTTTGAAATATTTTCTTTACAGTATGTCTCTTTGACGATGGTTCTGTACTGAAAAGAACAGCACTATTTGGCTTTTTGAAAGAATCTTTAGTTAATATATGTATGTACAGCGAGTCTGGTACAGGCAAGTAACAATTAAAATTTGCGTGTTTTATACTGTATGTATATACCTGATTCATAAAATGGATTTTTCTCTTTTTCATATGATTCCTGTGTAATCTGACTTTGGGCAGACACTTCTTTTTGTAATTGAATTTTGAAACGTTGTCGTGTCTCTTCCAGCATCGACAGCCACTTCGCCTGAAATGAAAATGATGAAGACACTTTGTCATTCGCAAGCAAAAAATACGTAGAAATGTCATATCGTGTCAACAAGATGTGTTTCAAGCAAGTTTGTAGCAAGCTTTGATGGGTGTGGTAAAAAAAAACAAGATGGCCGACAAAATATACTAAGGAGTGATGAATTATAATATTATATTAAGTTTTTTAATTTCTTGTTTTCGAAAATTTTGAAGCAAATTTTGAAAAACGTTATCATCAATATTCCAAACGATATGTAATTTGACAGAAATTTTCGTTAATCAAAAAATAAAACATCGTCTTCACGAAGGTATGTGTATATTCTCAACTTGGAGGCTTTTAATTTTCGGTATAATATATCATTTATAGACCCTCCGCTCAGGGGTTCGGCGAAATATTACCCTCAGTGAAATCCATCCCGCGCTAACACATGCATGTGCCTGGTTCGGAATTGGTCCTCGACATAGCAATAAGTAATTTATTCCTGCTATTTGGCGGAACATTATTCAAATAATCTAAACCTGCTTAGCCACCTTATGTTATAGTTGTTGAATTGGGGGACGGAAACTAGTTCTTGGAACGACTTATTACATAATAATTGACAAGTACGTTTGTACGTGCTTATTTACAAACGTGGAGCCTACCTTGGTCTCAGAGTCTTCCGCTTGATATGTATATGTTTCTCCAGTGGGAAAATTCATAATTTGGAACGCATCTCTCGAACCTGAAAATGATATTTTTAAAAGTATACAATGTTTTAGACCTCAGATTAAGGTATCAGCCAGCTCCTTGTGTCAAATACCGTACACTTCCTAAATAATTCTTCTGCCACAATAAAATTCACTCACCTTCCATGTCATGCACATTCACAACACCAACGTTATCGACTTCGAAAACAAACTTCAGTTTGAAACGTCCTGGACCAAGCCTGGTAAAAGGAAGAATGTCTATGTACCTCAACTTGTGGATGACTTCAAAAATTGGTCTGCCTATATATCCCCTAACTGCTAAATTAAGCCTACTACCGAAAATCGTGGCTGATGAGTATGACTATCTTACTCTGATTTGATGTCCGCAGCTTTCCGATTTTATTCTGTAAAAAGTCTGTTTCGCCCTCGGTTCTCTCGACTTCTCTAGACCACAATACATTGCAAGTTTTTTAAGCATTGTCGCGCCACTATTTGTAAAAAGGTCTTACTACGCGACGACATACTTGTTGCTAACAAACATGGCAATGACTAGAAAGTCGTCCAGGAGAAATCCTTTTACTCGCTCCACAGCCCCCATCGAATCCTGGTCTATTTCCAACAAGTTGCCTTCCATCAAACAATTGTGGTCGTGGACATTCATTACAGCCTGAAAATAATGAGAGAAAGCAAATACATTTATTAGACCGCCAAACCAGGAGCGGTTGCGAAAAATGCAACTGTATGCCCTCTGCAGGAATCAAACCCGCAGCCCTGCAATTTTGGTGAGCGCCCTAAAGGCCCATTTCCACTCAAGAAAAATTTCCACGAACAGAAAAATTTCCAAAAATGTCATTGGTTAAAGTTGAAAATTTTCAACTTCAAAATTTTTTCCCGAAATTTTTTAACAGGTTTCAATTATATAGGGTTGTATAATGCGCCTTAAAAACCATAATTTAAAAGTTTGAACTGTGCATTTAAGAGAGAGACACACACACTAATTGATGAATGTATGATTAGTTACCAACGAGCTGTACACACAGTCGCTTTGAGCTTCCCAGCGAGGTTTCTCTCACCCTTGTCGTAATTTTCTTGTAACTTGCATTGCATGCATAGCTCGGCTGAATATTACTCGGATGGGTTAAGCCATGTTTAAGGCAGCTAGATTGTCAATGTCACCCTGGGGCCGGTTGTATAAAAAGGTAGTTAAAGTTAAATACAGTTAGTGCGAAAGTTAACAAATCAAACTCGCGCATTTTAGGGCTAAATGCTACTTAACTACAAAATAGTAGTTAGAAAAAATTAAGAGTTTTATATGCATAATTCTCCGTCTAATGTATAATGTCTAGTGTTATTGATGTCGCATTGCTTGATATCGTAGAATAGAAACTTACGGAGAGTCCATCAATATTTTCGAGCAGTGACATAGTTTCGTTATAACTATCGGTTTCTGAAGGTGGACCATCGCTAATATCGATTGACACTGACGACTCTATAACGAATGAAAAGCAAGCAATTTGAAACAAAAGTTAAATTTGTTTATGACAGTCGTTCATTCACTCACCTGACCTACCAAACAACGACATCTCAAGCTGGGTCGACAAGTTAGATTTCTGATCCGTTAATAAGTGACTCAACTGATACATCTCTGCCTCCAAATCTGTATTTCACAGTCAAGAAAATGTATCCAAAATACATGCAAATTTACATATGGATAATCATATGATCAAATGCG